TCTTCTTCTTCTTCTTCTTCTCTCTCTCTCTCTCTCTCTCTCTCTCTCTCTCTCTCTCTCTCTCTCTCTCTCTCTCTCTCTCTCTCTCGAATACTTCTATTCCTTTGAAAGGAGCAATCGAGTTAATCGTCGCTCGAATTTCGAAGTCCTAATTATGCGTACTGGATGGGAATCCAACTAGTCGGTTTAATTACTCCCGATAATCGAGTAGATCCTTCCTAACCTCCTTCTCAAAGGATCCTGCAGAACAGATTGGACCGACTCGAGGTGCTATTCTCGACATCGAACCGGAAATCAGAGAATATAAATGAGAGACACCTTCGAGGCGCCATGATTCCTGTTCGAGTAGAACTTTCTCGTTGAAACGCCGAGAGCAAGATTGCTTGAATTATTTCGAAATTCTCGAAATTTTGGCGTTTTTCTAATCTTTTTACAAATTTACTTTGAGCTTGTCTTTTTCAAAATTTGTCAAACTTTTGAAATTTTCTTTTTCTTTTTCAATTTATGTACATTTTACGTTATCTTTCAAATTCATATAATTCAATTGAATTATAAGTCTGTTTAATAAAGTAGAGAATAAAAGTGCTAGAATTATCTTTTCGAAATTTTGATGTAAGTTTAAATCAAAAAATCTTTGTATTTTGAAGATTATGATGAATTATAATGAATAACATGCTAAAGAAAAGATTAGATATAGACAAATATATTTTATATTATACATTATCCTTCTAAGATTTAAAACAGATTTTGGTTAAGTTTAATGTAAATTTAGATAAAATATAAGCTCAAGTTTAATTTAGCTTATGTTAGATTAAATTAGATAACAACAGCAATTACGATTTTGTTTAAAGTTTTAAAATACATTTTTATATTATTTAATATTAATTTAATGATAATCTAAAATAAAAATTCGGTTTCATATTTCTATGATAATAAATAATGAGCAATGATTATAATCTTTTGATCAATAAAAATAACGAAGCCAAAATATATCAAAATTGTTAGAAAGATCTTTTAAATTATATAATATCTAATAAAATTTTATAAAAGATATTAAAAAATGTTATTAATATATAATAAAATAAATAATTAATATTTTTATCGATATTTCGAAATCAAGCAATGAATGAATATGTGTGAAGGAAAATTATTCAAAATCTTTTACTAATTTTCCAACTTTTTTCGTTTTTGAAACATTTATCATTACTTTCGTAACCTTGTGTGTATTCTTCGACAAATAATAATGTTCATACGAACGAAATCATCGAATATTTTTTTCTTCTTCCAACGTTCGAAAGTGAGTTTAAAATAGATTTGAAATGAAATCATCTGAATGAATGATAGTCAAATGAAATCGGGCTAAGGAAGTAATTCGTATGCAGAAGGAATTCTTGATCCAAACGATATTTCTTTGGAATAAGTCGTGATATCGTCCCTTTCGTATTCCATTAAATAAAATTTACGAATATTTGAATCAGATTTATAAATGATTTAATGCATACAATAATTCACACAATGAGAAACATTAAAATGAAAAATATAACTGAATAAAAAGGTTATTCTTCAATGCTGCTATGCTGAAACTTTATAAATAAGAGAAGATTACAAGGTTCGATAATTCATGTAAAATTAAAAGATTAATTTATAACTAAGTTAGAATGCTGCAATTATTCTTATAGCGAGGCCATTACAAGTTGAACATAATGGAACGTCAGAAATTACACGCAACATCAAGCCATTGTCATGGCAACGGCGTTGGCTTCTCTGTGGTCACTACATAAACTAAAGCGGGTGGCTTGCAGGGGTGGAAACTCTGTCCAGGGGGTGGCTTTACTACTCCATAAATCGCAAGACATCGGGTCGGCCGTGTTTGTGACATTATCGAATTCAGTGTGCAACCAGATATTTATTACACGTGCAATAATTTACAACCGCACTCTGTTCATTTCTTATTACAAAACTTCTTTGTCTTCCAATTTCTGGAAATTGAAAAATACGTTTAAAGAATGAAACGGTACGATATATGTACGCCATATTTTAGAATTATGAAATTTATTTTAAAAAATAGAGAAAAAGATTGACTTTTTAGAATTTTTCATAAACAAATATTCGATTATGAGAAGTTTGTAAAAATAATATGTTGAAAATTTTAAAAAAACGTTATATAAGAAAATCAGCAAGCAAAAACTTGACAAATATAAATTGTTTTAAGTATTTTTCATTACTTATTTTATTCGAATTATTGGTAAGAAGATAGAAAACATATTCAAGCTTCGATTTTAATTTTTATTTGCATTACTTTTCATTTATTTTGTTCTATTCTTATTTCTCTTCATTTTACAAATATACCAGTCATCGTGAAAATCAGAGAAAGATATCTTCGTCGTTAATAATTGTGTGAAAGATTATTCTTCGCTATTAAACTATTCGTTTTGAGATCAAAGTGAAGCAATCTTTGAATCGATACCCTTTGAATTTGAATTATTTAACGATTCAAGTCATTCCTAAGGGATACGTGTGTTCCATCACAGTTTAGAGTAAACCATTCGCTTAGTATAATGAATACTAATACGTCTCTTGCATCGAGCTAAGTCTAGATAAAGGAGACTGACATCCCTTGTTAGTTTGTCGTTGATTGAGCAGGGTATGCCGGAAGAGGCGAAACTTTTAATTAGTTACTGATCCCTCGGACAATATAATTCCTTCCTGCGGAAGGGGAGCATGACAGAAATAAATTGAAATTGCTTCACTCTTACCGATTTAACATACTTTTGCCTAATTAATTTGGCTTAACGATTGAGAAAAATCGTTTCGATCGAACGACTAAATTCTCTAGTCTTCTAAATGGATCACTTAATTCAACCGATCCGAAAAAGGGATGAATATCCTTCTATTGGATAATTGGTTTTTCGGATAATTTCAAAATTGGAAGAGATAATCTTATCCATTCTATGGACAAATTTTGGAAAAATCTGTGTTATCGGATTATACGAGATGTAGAGTTATCGGATTATTTAAATTGGTCTTCGTAATTGTTAAAATTATAAAAACTTTTGCAAATTGACATTGATTTTTGTAATGCTTAGAAAATGAAATATTATAATATCATAATAAATGTATAAATATGAATATACATATATATACAGGATAATTATATAATTGAAAATTTGTTATAATATATTTTATATATATTTATGCATATATTTTATATTAATAATCTGACTCTAATCTTCTAAAATTTCTTTATTATATTATTTATTTGGTAATATTAAAGTAGTCTAGTTTTTTTAATACATTATTAGCATTCATATTTTTGATGAATTAATTCCTAATCTAGTTCGAACATAACCTAACTCTGATTTTTTGAAAGAATATTATTGCGCATTATTTATCGTAATTAATGACATAATCTAACTTACATTATTAATATTACATAGAATTTCTTTAATTCCATATAAATATGAATATAAATTTGTGTATTAGTTACGATTTATAATCTAATATTTTAATTAAGAATCTTGAAAGATTTTTATGTATCTCGACGAATAAATATATTGCTTTTATTTAATAGACAACGCTTTAGAAATATACACGAGCACCACTTTGTGAAATAAATCGAATAGATTAAATGGAATATTATCTATGCAACGGAGTTATCTGGAACATCAACCAGCAATCCCTTTCAGCCTCATACTCCTTTGTGCATTATTCTTTATCTTATTTTTCACCTGTGTTATTATTTATCTCGAAAACCTCTTGATATTTTCATAGAGCAGAAAAGTTCTTTATCATAGCTGACAGTTTCCATTAGCAATACCAATTTCACCTTCTTTGCAATCCTTCTCTGCGATCATTTCCACCCATTTCTGTTTCGAATCACTCGAAGCGATCTCCACTTAGTTATGCAAGCGTGTATCGATGAGAATGGCGATTGTTCCAACTGTTAAGCTAATTGTAATTCGTCCAAATCCACGTTAACCTGCTGCATGCGAGAGACGGTTTAGGCATTCAACCTTCGATACTATATCTTTTGACGAGCGGAATAGACGGAAGCGCGCGGAACTCCTGGAGAACTTTCCTCGAGTTAATCCGCTTGGAGGATCAAGGCCTTTGATGCGTTTCGAAACTCGTCTGATGGGACACGTCGAGACATTTTTCATGGAAAACGAAGCGTGCACGGGTTCCTTCCCCTATGAAATTTATTAAATTTCTAACTATCTGTGTCACTTTTCAAACCTTGATTCCGCGGGAGCAGCTTTAATTATTCGAGGTAATTAAATCTGAATAACTTTAACCATCTTCTTATTCGAATTGTTCGTTGAAAGTGTAATGAGATATAGTTGATTATGAATATTATTTCTTTGAAAACCTTAAGAAAATTTGAAATATATATCTCGTAATAAATGTCATTGTGCCGTTAAAAAATGTACATCAATTGAAAAATCTAATTAAAAGTTAGGTTTAGAATTTTGAAAAAATAAAAATTCTTTCCTTGCATACTCTAACAATATTCTAAATTAGAAAACGTACAAATTTTAAAAATAATATAAAAATTGTAAAACCAAAAACTCGAAAGTTTCGATATTTAAATTAATTAATTAAGGGAATAGCATATCTTTAATAATATTCCATCGAAAAAATTATTCTAAAACGAAAAAAATACAAAATCCTGATTTACACATTGTCCAGACCAACTTCCGAAAACTTTTGATTCCCAAAGGGAGGAAGGGATCATCGTTGAAAAGTAATTAACCATCGTCATTATCGCTAAGGTGACGACGTTGATACTCGGTCGTTAGAGTTTCTGCGTATGGAACTAACTACATCGGAGTGTCTCTGTGAATTCTGACCCTCCTGGACACATTTATGGACAGGGTAATGGCAGAATTGTCGGAGGGGAAATGCCACGGAATAGGATTGCGATGGGCTAGCGCGAATATTCTGTTATAACTGCGAGGAAACCCGCAGGATCCGGCTGCGGCGATCCTTGTATTATCCTCGATGCATTTCTACGCTTCACGATTGAGACACAGAGATCATTGCCATAATCGTGCACACAAGATAGCCATCGTGGATTTGATATTTCGTCTCGGTTCAGATGAGCTTTTAGCTTGATAAACGATTTGGAAACGATTAACGCGAATCACTCGATGTTGTTTTAAGGATCTTGTATTTTTGAATTTTCATTGCCTAACGAAAGTATCGGAATTTCTGCCTGTTTGACTCTGAGAGACTTTTGGTAGATTGGAAATATCAAAATGTATACAGTGTATCGTGTTTCTTGTATTTGGATAATTAAATTATTTATATATTTGTATTTCTAATACAATTTGTGAGGTATATATATGTGTATTTTATTTCGTTGTGTACATATATGTCCAGTCAAAAGTTTATATTATTGTATTTGGTTCACACTGGTTCACAAAAATGAAATAAAAAATTTAAAAAATATAATGGAATATAATATATGCTGATTAATAAATTATTTAAAGTAAAAATTAATTTTGTTTATTAAGAAATAATGAAAAAAAAAACAAGTAGAAAGAGATATGTGTTAAATTTAAAAGTTTATTCTTTATGGAAGTTTATAGCACAATTATCTCACGAATGAATTTTTTAAATTATGATACTATTAAGAAGTAAAAAAAAATTAATTTTTTCCATAGAAAATTCTACGTATTCTAAAATCTTACGTTATTATTCATTGTGTATACAGTTTTAAGCAATTTAAATTGATGTTTGATTATTGAAATCGATAATTTGGAGATTTTTTAAATAATATTCCACAAATTTGTTTCTTTATAATTTCATTACGATCTTGAAAACTTGACCTTCGTAAAATGTTTGATTTTTTATTTTTTTCTGCGGTTCCAATTTTGTCCTTTTTCATTTTATATCCGATTTGTAAAACCAGAATGCTGGATTTGCTCTTGAGATTTCCACAAACTATAAATTTTTACGTGTAAAACCTTTTGCTCGTAAAACGAACAGATGCAATGCAAAAAAGTTTGAGAAGATTATTCAAATAACAGAGATAAATGTTTCGAATCGTCTAGGGTGTCTAGAAAACTTTCAAGTATTAGTTTCGATTTTACAACTATTTGTTAAAAATACCTTTTTCTGACACAATATGATGTATCTCAATTTTGAAGTGTAATTTTTATATTAAATTCAGTCAACAGTTATTAAAAAAGAAGAAAAACGCATACTTTTATTATTTATTTTTATTAATAATTTGATCAAAATTGTTTCTATTGTTGTTAATTTTGAAAAAGTTGACGACATTTGACTTCTTTTGTATTTCTTTTTTAAAAAATAAGATTTGCCTTGGATATTAAGAGATGAACGTTATTTATTTGCTATTACTATTTGTTTTTATTTTCTGAAGTAAAGAATTATCTAAAAAAATGTTGATTTCGATAATTTTATTATTATTATTATTATTATTAATTATCGAATTATTTATCTTTACATGAAAAAAACGATTATTATTTAACAATAATAAAATAATAATATAATAAAATATAGTATACATAAAAGAAGTTGAAAGAAGTGAATTTAAAAATTATTTAAAAGAATTCATATTACAAAGAATCAAATATATCAAGTTTCTTCGAAATTTTGTCACGTATTATCATATTCATTGACAAAATTTGGTCATTGGTTGTAAATGATTGACATACTATTTACGAATATTTAAAAGAAAAAATAAATTCTTTTTATTTACATCGAAGAAAATTATTTGTAAAACGTCGATCATTGTCATTTCGAAACACATTGCTCGTCCTTTCTAATTTATGTCGATATCCGATAACTTCGATGGCGTCCACATATTCGGTAATAAAGTTTGATAAGCCATCCATCCATCCATCAAGATGAACTACGTATAAATCATTCCTCGCTGGAACAGTGCATTGATTGAGATGAGTCTTCGTGTTTGAACAGTTATCAAAACATGTGTACGAACCCTAGCAAATTATTCAAAATCGAAAATGCAATTTACAATTGAGCTTAAATATTTTATGTATATCGTAATTGTTTCTTCAAAATTTTTAACATTTTAACATTTAGGATTTTATTTAGAATGCGTGTAGAATTTAATACATTACATTTTTTGTGATAATAAATTATCAAGTTTTCAGTGTATCTGCGAAAATTTATTTACCAATCAAAAAAATCTAATATCTCGATATTTTTTGATCTCTCAAAATTTCATTAATTTCGTTAAATTTAAAATTAAAATCACATCTTCTTATCTTATATCAGAAAGAGTTTTAAAATTAAATTTACGTATATCGAAAATTATTTATCAACTGCAAAATAATAAACATAAAGAAAGAAAAAAATGAATCGCAATGAAAATTCAAATTGATAAATTTTCCAATTTTTTTTTTTAATCATCCCCAGCGTATAACTCGGTCAATTGGGAGGCAATACTTTGGAATATTCCGTGATTGTCAAGGTATTTGCACGGTGCTCATAATTGTCCAGGATTTTGACCGGCCGATTGAAGCGAGCTCTCGCAAGAGAACGCATCGAATGCCAATCACCGACGTCAGGCATGTGTACATATCCCCAATGTTCGATGTACACATATCAATTTGCATTCAGTATAAATAAGTCGCGCGCATGTTGTGCCCTAAATGCGCCCGTACGGATAACTCGAATTTACCATTGTGGCGTAACGTGCAAATCAGCCGTCCGATAACACCGACAGCATCCACCTGAACAATAATATTGTCCGCAAAACAAGTGTACGTATGATTTATGTTCGTCGTACCTGGTTAATAACGACCACTATCGTGTCGTATACCGTATATTTTAGTATTCTTAAAATTTCTTGCATGGAAAGAAAAATATAATTACACATATTATAGAGTAAATGATCTATTTATTGAATATTTAATTTGGGCTTTGAGAATTTTTGAATAGTTCGAAGATATTTTTTGATTGTTTTTTTTTTTCATATTAAAATGTTTATCTAATACTTTTTTTTATTGTTGTTTTACATATTTATTGGTAATTTTATATAATATTAAAATTTAATATTCTTAGTAATCACAATTTCTTATATCGTATACGATGGAATATTTATTTTCATATTTTTAACAAATATTTAAAAAGAAATTATTGCAATGATAAATGTATAGATAATTGTATAAATAAAGATTTAAGTTTTAAATACTTTAAAATATAGTAATTTAATTACTTTGTATTTTTTTACTAATTTTTAAAAAATTAATTGATTGCTTAATAATTGGAAAAATGCATGATAACCGAGCTATTTATTTTATCAGGTTTAAGAAATCATTTTCTCTATTTTTATTAGATAAAAATTCTTTAATTTTTATAAGATTCAAATAATTTTAGCAATTCGTGAATTCTTCATTCATAAATATCAATGAATTCTCATTCTATTCAGTTTTTTTTATAATTTTTGTTATTTTTTTGTTAATTTAATAATTCTAATCTAAAATATTTCTGATACCATTTTTTA